GGGGGGGTTAAGTTCGGTTACGACAAGAAAACGACAGTCGAACGGTGATACCGGATGAGTGCACTGAATTGAACCCTATCGTGAGCGAACGATGATCAAGGGACGCACAATGATGTTACTCCTCTATGGTTCTCCTACAAAACCAATGAACGATTGGTGACCGGTTTCCCCCAATCGGTTTCTCGGACTAGCTTCATCACTCCACGAATCTCCGAATGGGAATTCAATATGACAAGCGTTAATATGAGAATGAGATCTGTCCAATTTTTCTTTCAAGTGGACATGATACGTTTCTCACCGAAGGACTCAAAATCCTAGCGTGGCAGAGCTTGAAACGTGTTATCAACGTTCTAAACACACATGGTTTCCTCTCCCCCCGACACCATGACACAATGCACTGAGAACGTGTTTTTCTGAGACATGTATTCCCCATATACCAATGACGTGCATCTGCACTGAAAATGAAACATTCGAGACGTGTCCTGCCGCATACTACAAACCCCAGGAAGAGGCACGTTTACAGCCTGAAGCAAGGGAATAAAAGGAGAGATTATATCCAGAGAAATGAAACTTTCGTGTATACGCCAATTTTATCGGCTACTTGGGAACTATTGACAATCACCAATTTCGTATTCTCCCTTCCCCCTCTTGTGAAGGGCAGTAGTGTGCGACTTGCCAGTTTTCCACACATTGAGGTTCACTTCTTGGTCGCTTAGATTGTATCTTGAGTGAACTATTGTTGTTTGTCAACTGGCTTCGATTTACATTGGCGAGGTCAACAATGGACCGATGACCGCACGAGCCGTGACAACCAAACCGTATGGATACAAACATTTGAAACGATCGGACTGATTTCATGTGCAGGTACGCCCAGTACTCATGAATACACGATAACTGACTTGATCGATCAATCAGGTGTGTTGCATGTGAGAACCCTGTCCGAACGATGTATGATTATTTATTGCTTTGAATTGACTATCCTTCGAACTTCACCTTCACGTTCATCACGTTCATCAATTCAACCATACACTCGAGTTTCGCTCTTATTAGAGCTCATCAGTAATGCATATCCACCGTCCCGTCCGGGATTTGAACTCCGGACCCATTGCATGGAAGGCGTGTGCCTTACCACCGAAGGGACACGGAACTTTAGACACCCCCCCCCCACGGTCATGTACTAACAGCAAAGTTAGTCCGTTAAAAGCTGAGAGTGAGGTCGCCGGAGAGAAACTACTCGCTTCATTTGGGTGACCAAGTTGTACAATAGTCCACAGCATGGACCGAGTGTAAACAAGCATTCCAATCTAACATGTTAACAACTGTTCATTGTTCTTTTACTGATGAATTAACACCTTGTCTGGTTACGTATGGATGGGACAATAAATGGCATTATCCATGTATGCCACGGGCCTGATTAATGTGAAGCAAGTCTTGCCTATTTCTGCATTTCCCCTGGCAGCCTCCTTCCTGAAAGTTGACTGTACATTTGTATATTCAATAAATAAAAAAGGAAGTAAAAAGATACATTGATAAACATTATCCCTGTTGAGCAGCTATTGAATCGTGTACAATTCGCCTATCCCAACCACACTCGTAGCATTGGTACGATTCGAACATCCGGCGACCAAAAGCAGCACGGGCTGCCTGGATAAACAATGGTCTCGACCGATTATCACACGACAACTGTCAACGTCAGGAAACCGATCAAATGTAATCCAGTGGCTCTGTGTATATACCAAGGTATTTTTGGCGTTTGATTAAGTCTCCTACAGCTTGAAAACTGGAATTATACTCTGTGTCTGGTTACTATCATTTTGTCATTTACGGCGTAAAGTGCATTGAACAGTGAAAGGGAGGTTCGACAAATAAATGGGCGAAAATTCAAAGGTATAGGGAAATCTAGAAAGCGAATTAGTTGGGCGAAAAAAGATTGGGAGGGTGGTGTCAGTGCACAGAAGCACGGACACCAACGTATTTGATATTTAGCACCGTAAATTAAAGTCAATAATCCTAGATTAGGCTTGATAAGCGGGCTTAACACGATAGACAGGGATCAGTTCACTGGTCGGGGTTTTCATATCCTTTTATTGAGTGATGAGCTGGCTGTCTGTATACAATCGACGATACCATCCGCTATGGTGAATACGCAATGTTTCGGGTAACAAAGCGATTGCAGAATTTGACTGCAGTCCGTTGAGAAAGCTGACTTGGTAACGTGTCCCGATCACTAGGCTGACTGATCACTACAATCTCATGAAAATTGATTGTACTTTTGTGCCGAATAAACAACATGAAAACGTTGGATGAAATTACCAATTACAATTTAGTTGATGAGAACCAGTGACCTGAGTCGTGTGACTTTAGATATCAAACGACATGAGCTAGAGGAAGCTGTCTATCGTCAAGTTTGGGTGCCAGCGGTATGGTTCAAACCTCAAACTGTGAAGCCGAGAACCCCAGTGAAAGCGATCTGGACATCCCCCCCCCCCGGGACAAATCCATCATCACCACCACCACCCCAAGATGGTTTCATCAAAGGTAATTGACGAGCGGAAAATTAACCATTTGTGGAAGAGTAAACAGAAAAATAAACCTTCCTCTCTTCCACCGGTTCACTTTCCGATTACATTCGCAGTGAACTGATAGCAGCTAGCGATTTCGGGTGTTCATGAAGTATGCATCTTCCGCGGTCAACCCGGCAGAACTAAAGCCTCCAAGAACGCCAATAACTTTGAGGTACATAAGGCTGTGTCCGCCAGAACGGTGATTATTTATTCAAGACACTGAGAAAAGTAGACCCATTGAGAATCATATAAAGCTCTCGTTTGCAAACAAGCGATCAAATACAAATGTCCAACTCCGAGCTATAACCTTAGAGACTAGCACTAGAAGCTCGCAACAGGCTCTCAAAGACGGGTGATGCCACATGTACAAAGAAACTGAGATAATCTGACCAGCTTTCTAGGATTGGTCGAGTGGACAGCAATCGGGTGCTAGTGAGGTGCTTGAGCTGATCCTCAATTGAGTCATTGAATTCGTATTGTCGATGGCAACCAGCGAGGTTGAGATGGATGCATAAAAACGCACTTCCCAGCTTTTCAGTTCACGCTTGATTATCTCTTTCGGCGTATGTGACGAAGTTCACCTTAAGAAGTAAAAGAAGAAAGCCCGATCAGTTTGAAACTGATTGCTTGCCTGATCCTATAAAAGCTGCACCTGTCTGTGATGACAGTATGCGAGGAATGCAAATCCAATGACCAATGCCATTAAATGAAACCGGACACCACACATTCATAAACGCAAAGCACTCCCACACGATTAGATGTGGAGCAGTTTTACCAATCATTAATCAGCGAATCACTGGAGGATGAGTGGGAGGTTGTGAACTCAACAGCAACACAAATCGGAACAAGGATAGTGTCTGCAACTCGTCGTAAATGTTTGCTTGGGTATGGGTTAACCTTTAGACAACTGTATCTAGAAACGAAAAATTATGTCCGACAGTCAGAGATCGAAATCCAATGATTTTGGAGAGCTGCATGTCTTAGAATTTTATCTATACACTAATCAGCCATGATTACGAGGTCTAGACTACTGATGAACGGAGTGTGAGCAAATCGGTAGAGTACTCGATCTGTGACAGGGAATATGATGAATCGAAAACACACTGGGAAAGCGGTAGCACTCACTGGTATCGTTTGGATGGGCAGGAATAGGACGGAATTTAGACAAGGTACGTGCCGCTCCATTTCCTGCCGGATACAATGTGGGCGATTGAAGCACATAGCTCGGATAGTGATATTTGCGTGAGGCGAACGAAGGGAATAGGCTTGGTTTTTTTGGACGAGCCGAACCACGCAGGCTGTGCAAATCAAGGATGAGAGAGAGAGATTATATCGATCGAATGCAACTTTCTCAAGGTATACGATCATAACAGTTGATTCATTGCGTGTGCATGTAACAGAGATAAGATAACCACACACATTGAGAGAGCACCAACAACAACGGGGATACAGAATGCCTGAATCGAGGGTGGAAAAGCAGCGGAATACGAATAGGCTCCAGGCTAGTAGGGACTATTGCCAACTGAATGAGCAAACCAAAAAAGTATAATGCTGTACTCGGAGTAGATCGATTTCCTTCCTGCCTATCTACCAGTGCATGAGATTCGTGGTATTCGTCCGGGACATTGACAGAACAATACCGTTAGATAACGTGTATGGAAAAATTCGTTCACCTACAACCTAGGGTAATCAATTACAGAACGGTTAATTTTATATGGACAACGACAGCGCAAGTTTGAGTACGAGTGACTGAGCACATTTGAAATCATGTGATACTGACCAATAAAAGGGCATGCAGTGACACTAAAACATCTATTTCATCTGTCTCCATTGATGTAGATACTCGTAATCTTACCCCAGAGTCTGTTTGTGACAAATGACTTGTGTATAGACGCCCGAATAAATTGCTTTATACCAGTCTAGCATACAATGGATTTAACAGTCTAAAATATCACAAAAAGGTAAGGGAAACGATACAACGGGATTAGTCTATATGCAAGATGTTTTGAACAGCGTGTGTGTTTACGCTTCAGGTGAACCTGGAAAGGAAGGGAATGAGATATCAGATTTCAATGTTAACTTTTACGGACTTAGAAACGCGGTCGCATGTGTTTANNGGACACACTCACTTATATTCTACTCCCGACCGAGATAGTCGAAGGAAACAACCGAAATCGTGACGCACCAGTATACGGCTATTGATTATTTCACGCAAACAAAAAATGATCTCCATTTTGTGAAACATCGAAGCGCATTGTTGGAATGAAAAAAAACGCGATTGAAAGCAATGCACGCGATAGTAGGCCCACGTTCAACTAGAGCAATGATCAATTCAGATCTGTAGACCAACTGGGCAAAGTGGTGGTATGAAAACTTAGATGACGGGCTTTTGCAGCTGATGAAACAAAGAGACTTCAAGGGGAAATACAGTGGGATATCTCCAGTTTCGGCATGTGGCTGTTGAGCTTTATGGGACGAAAGTGCGGGTTGTAACGCAATCCTGTAGTCAAAAGAATCTTTTAATGTATCCGCGTAACGACGGAACGTCTGAATGCTTAGCCGCCACAGCCGAGTTCAACAGGTGACAAACGTGTGCACTACAGTATCAACTGGGAGAATGTGACGGAACCATCATGGCGCCAGTCAATCACGCAACGGATCGACCGAACAATCTAACAAGCAAGGTTACTCGACTTATTCGATTATCAATTTATTGGATCCTCATTGGCCAATTGGATCTTATGCACATAATTTGGTCTATATCTGGCTATAAATGACTTCATCATCGCGCGCAAACCGTGAACTTTCTTCCTCTCCTGCTAAGGGGTGTTTGGTATGATCAATTAGAGAGAGGTATAGTCTTTTTTATTACACACATTTGTGTGGTGAACAGCAGACGGGGCGAACCCCATAGTCACGAAGACCTGCTGCTCCGTCATGCAAACCGGCAACCTAAGACCCAGGACTTGGAGTGGGGAACCACATAAGGCCCCGTTAGGTTAGGCGTGGTATTGAACCAGACGACATAAAAGCTGTCTACCACCAAAGTTGGGTGGCGGGGCTCGAACCTCGAACCAAAGGNTTCAAAGCATGCCAGTGACAGCGACTAAACCACTGCGCCACCACCACACAGACAAAATTGGATAGCCGCACTCGAATCTGAGCCGCTAATTTTATCGCCTGCATTCGTTTATTCCTTTTGTACTGATGAATACTCATCCCACCCTAAACTTTATTTTGTTCATTGATTACGAATTTGAAATACAATTAGGGTTCTATATTGGGTCAGTTCCCACACCCAATTCATGACATCAGGATAGAGATTATTTGCACAACGGTTGTTCATCGAGGCTGATGAAACATACCGGAAGAAAGCATGATGTTCCACACAGACGGTATACAATCGTTTGGCAAACGCGGCATTGCTGCATTTGAACGACAAGTTCCGGCCGAATGGCTCATTTTCGGCCGGACGTAGTGCAATCACAAAGTTACGACCCCGGTGGGAGAGGCTGATGATACGTGGCCACGAGATTCGCATTAAACGAATGCGATTCCGGTACTGTAGTATCCCACCGTGATAGACGCCCAAATTGATGTCTTCATCTTGAGAATTCTGTTCACCGCCGGCGAGAGAAAGAGGATTCGAGGGATGGAACGCAGGGCGACGAGAAAGAGAAGACAGTGCGTGATATACGGTAAAAAAATTTGGTAAGAAGAATGAACTACTGTGAACAATTCTAATTCCTACACTCGAGCTCAAGAACGACACCCATTATCAGAGTGTCGATTTCAAGGGGCAGCTTAACTGCCGACTAGTAATGCATAGGCTAAACAGATCTTTTTATCTATGCGCAAAATCAGGAATGAGGCGTTAAGTCGATTGAAAGCCAAAAAACGAAAAAAGCAGGATGCCTATGGTGGGGGATCGAACTCACGTACTATAAGACGATGAGCGGATGACCCAAACAACCTGTCCACCGCCCGTAGAAGTAAAAAGAATACATTTACCGCAATCGATTCTACGCTGAAAAGCTTTCTTTTTCTAGAATGAACGTAATAAATTTGTGGTGTGGGAGAGATCGCATTAGCACAATTGATTTCTTTAACTGCTTTCGGAGACACTGTACCACTCGACGTGAACGGGGATAGCTTTGCTGGGTAAACCAACGAATCCAGCGGTTGAACTGATCTCACTCGTTACGCAAACGCATTGTTCGCAAAACACACTAGATAAACAGACTGAACATCTCACAGACATAAGCACCGAAACCGGGAATAATAGTGCCGCAGGAAACTGATCGAGTACGGATTATGACCAATGCACACACAGAGAAAGGCACACGGTTAGTGAACAGACAGAATCAGATACTCATTCAAACCGCGAGCAGACGGGTGGTGTAAGCATGTTTGCAACCCAAGCTGATTACAGTGGACTGAAACCGATCACGGAGTGTGTTGATCCAAGGGCGATACACAAACAAAATCACCATTGGTCCAGATATTCGTACAACTAAGTGCATCATATTCCTCTTTTTCCATCCTCCACTCCATTCCTTGGGGGTGGGGGTGGGGGTGTAATAGACGAGCACTCCATAGGACAAAATCAATAGTGGAAACAGAAACTAACAGAAATTCGTATTCCCATTTCTTCGCAATGGTAGTCTCTGGGTGGGCAGAGGAGGGGGCGGACACGCTTTCGATGACCGTTGGTGAGAAGAGAAAGTCATACCACGTAAATTGGCTCTGCAAGCAATAGTCGTACTACCAGGCAGAATGATTCACTTCTTTGTTTGGGACAAAAAGTTGCTTTGCTGATCGACACAGAACAGTTGATAATGAGAAAAGTGTACCGCGAGTTTTACAGAATGATTGATCGCAAAGTTTGAGGCGCATGGTTCGTTGCTCAGGGACACAAAAGGCATTGATGTTAGTCGCATGACACAGAACGTATCGACTAGTTTGTATGCAATGCATCAACTAGCAGATGAAAAAAAACGATCAACTTTTATCAAAATACGGACCAGATCGATGAGTTCCCATGCATCGATCCACGGGTTTTATTGCACTAAGCGATTTGGAATATGACGCTAATACAGGCCCGTGACATGAACATGAGCAAGCAACGCAAACTGTGCTCAATTACTTGGTGATTGGGGACAACTTGGTATGCTATACACTATGCTTCAGCGCGAAGTGCTGCTTCAAGATTGATAGGAACCTGTTTCTGCAATTACTAGCGCTACAAATCTGTTGTAAGTAGTGTGTTGCTTCGAAGGGTGAAATAACAAATGGCGTTTGGAATGGTGACATAAAATCCTACATAGTAAAGTCAAAGATAGCGGTTATCAGTCTAGAAGAGACAGAAATACAGGAAACGCGCCAGTTCTGAGCCTGTATCAATGCGGTTTTTTCACACCACCAGTGGCGGGGGCACTTTTGCGAGCTGCCTTTGTGGAGAGCTGTTTGTGGGGAGCCCTGCCTCTCGCGGATTCGCGGGCAGTTTGCTTTGTACGAGCCATTTGGACGGAGATATACACCCAGAAGACAAGGAGGCGCCAATGGCTGGGAGTGGCAAACAGTCTATATGTATTCTCCACCTTCCGCTTCAATTCGCCTCCAACATTCCAGTTTTCATTTTGCTCTTTTATCCAACTGGGCGGCCAAAAGACAACAACCAAAACCGGTGCACAAAAGTGCATGGTTAGTGGATATAAAAACTGAAAGATAAGATATTCGTGGTGCTACAACGATATCCACCTGATACCTGACCCATTAGTGTCAAGTATGCTTGATGGCTCTAGGCAATCAATCATTGACATATTCGGCGAAAACATAATAAAAGTTTTGATCTCGATTGATCTATCCGACCCGCGTGAATAGGTCGCCCCGATGTGATTATGAATGTAGTTCGTCAGAAACTCTAGTGGATATGATTCAAATATCGAGACTAGTGGCGTGAAGTTTATTTTCGATACCCTCCTCGACCGAAAAACAAACAAAAGGTAAAAAGTATGTACGATTAAAAACAGAAAAACGACCTCACACCCTTTGGTTATATTCCTTTATATTCGCCCAATCTGCTTGCACTATATATACAGCGATAACGACTCGTCTGTTGACAAAAAAGCCGTTACCTTAGCCGGATTTCTGACTGGATAAACATGACTTAGAAAGCAGATGTCTTCAGTGATGATGACACTACCTTTACTTTCTCTACATTTATAGATGATTGTATCCTTTTTCTTCAACAATATTGAAACGACTCCTATGCAAGTGCAGTCTAGTGCGACAAACCCCATTGATTCCTAATATTTCCATTTGCTTGCAAAACTGTTTGTAAAAGTACTTGTAAAATCTATTTTACGAAATCAGAGCAAAGCTCTCGTTGCAACTCTGTTGTCCGCGAATACCTAATGGCCCTAACCTCGGTTTGGCTTTATCACGCTCCCACAATGCGGTCTAGTTAGCTGCTTTTATTCCTCGTCCGCTAAGGGCCATAACTCTGCATCATGGCCAAAACGGCTGCAGCATACCATTCACGGAAGACCAGATAGTATGATGGAGGAAAAAGTGTCCGAGAGTGACAAACGCCAACTGAACCTTCCCGATATGCGGGCCGATACACGTAATCCGCCATCCTCATTTAGCATGAGGTTGTCGACTGTGGAATATGCTCCCCCCTCCCCTCCTCCTGTCCGCTTTGTCTCCCCACGTATAACCGCCAACACTTGAGAACAAAAATCAACAAACTTGACGTATCACGTAGGTTTCGCTCGGCATTTCCCGTTCTTACATTAGCCTGATTTGTTTGGCACACAGATGCGTGTGAAATACATATTGCAAAATATCTCGATCCAAACAGACCACTCACTGACGTATCTGCCTGGAGCCCAAAGCACCAATCGACACTGACCCAGACACATAAGACTCACCTTCACTTTGTGAAGATCCACACCGTACAGGGCAAGAACACGTGCATTATGCAGAAACAGACGATCAGCTTCCTCTGGAGTTTTCCCACTGAAAAGATAGAAACAACATAATCATTCGTATCCACA